GACAACGTCACACTCAACAATTCATGCCCATGGCTTTCGGTTCCATCGTCAAGTCGAGCAACGAAGAATCTCTTCATTCGTGAGAATCTTTCTTTTGATTTGTTGCAGAACATTTCCATGTCGGAGCGTAAATTTTAATTTATAATAGGAATTCCTTAAATTATTGCGTCCATTTTTGTCTTCATGGGTGTGTGATGAACTAAACGATCCTAGCTATCAGGACTGCATTCTACAAAGCTCGGATGGTAACTTCAAAGCTTTGACAAAATCAGTCTTCAGTGGACCATTTCAAGCAAAGGCTTCTATCTTTTTTGTCAAGGGGAAAAATGAAAAAGAAAAGAAAAGAAAAGAAAAGCATAATGCGCTGAGCAAGCAAATATACCTTTCACACGCTTAAAGCAACAAAGAAGGCGAGAAAGAGATTTGAACTGGATGGATCTTTAGACCAGCCATTTGGCTGCATATTCTCAAAGTCACTTGATGTCGGTTCTTATCATGCGTTTACTTTCATGAAAATTACAGCCACAACTACCAAGATATTGTGTGTGAACTAGCTATATGTTAGAATTTGGACAGACAAATTTTTTAAAAGGACCATTTTCGAATTAATATTAGCAAAATCGACTTTGTTATAGCAAAATTGACTTTGTTATAGCAAAATTGACTGTTTTCTGTCAGAAAAAGGTTGATTTTGCTGAAAAAAGAAAGGCTTGGGAATTACACGGGACTACTAGTCCCGTGTGATTAGAGCACACTAATCTTCATTAGTAGTACAACATTAGAAGACATGTTTCCTAAACAGTGGTTAATCACACGGGACTAGTAATCATGTGTAAATTAAAATACATGTTTTGCAAAATCAACCTCATTTTGACCAGTCGATTTAGCTAATCTTATTATCAAATGGTCAATTTTGCTTATATTGTTTTCAAAAAGGTTCATTTAAAAAAAATTTCTCCAATGTAGACACACCCGAGAGAGTCAAAACACAAAGGACTTGTGATTGAGGATTGCTTTTGAGAAAGGTCAAATGTTGGAATTCTACAGAAACACCATATTTCAAAAGAGAAGGTTCCTTTGAAAACTTTGAAGAATACATCATGATTCTAAATTAAATCCTTCTTCTCGGTCTCATATCAGATTTGACTTGGATAAAGTCTCTAATATCAAACATTTGACCCATTCAATAGTCAGATCAGGTGGAGCTTGATCAAATAAATCAAGAAACTAATGCATACCGAATATCAAAAATGAATTCAGAGCTAAAATTTGTTGGAAATTATGGTTAAATTTGGAATGAAACAGAGAAATTTTGATGTGCTATAATTTTAAACTTTTTCAGTTCACTGCTGTGCGTTTGTGAAACGTTGTGCTTAAAGCAATATTTGGTCTACTCCGATGCAAGGATCACAATGCCAAACTGCTTCCAAGAACAACAGTACTGTACTCTGGTGTGCACCAACCCAGTACTGTCAAGATCTCCTCGATCTATAAGACATTTCGATCAAGGCAAAGATCTCCTCGATCTCAGAACCTTTCGGTTCAAAATCTTTCGGCTTCATGGCAAGTTTCTTCAGGCACAGTTTCTGCAGCAGCTGCACAGCAACAGCAACAACGTCAAGATCTTCTCAAGTTCTTCCTAAGAGCTGCCCAAGGGGCGCTATTTATAGGTCTCTAAGGCCAGCTCAAGAGTCATCCTCAATTAATATGGCTGTTACAAATCATAATGGCAATTATGGTTATAATAACAATCCATTAAATTGATCTAAATACTGTCATAACTACTGCATGCATTAACTCCTGAATACGAGGTAATCAATGGACGCATTACTACAAAACATGAGGGTCACGTCTCAGCAAACAGACGAACCTCGTCAAACTGGCAAACCTCGTCGAACCAGCGAACCTCATCAAACAGGTGAACCTCATCGAATGTGCGAACCTCGTCAAACGGGTGAATCTCGTCGAACGAGAGAACCTCGTCAAACAGGCAAACTTCGTCGAACGAGCGAACCTCGTCAACGAATTGACGAACCTCATCTGATTACGAGAACGCTAGGGTCACACCCTCATGCGAATATGTAGCTCGTCCGCATGCTGCGAAACAGCCTATGAGGCAACCTTCATGGCAGCTAACGTGGCACCAAAGAACGCCACCTCGCCCTAATGCATCCGTGCGAAGTGCGCCTAACAAAATGCCACTTAGCGTCTCAGCCCGATTAGCCTAGATCCTCGGCCCATTGGCCCACGACCCACGAGCCCACGGTCCACGACCCACTAGAACTTATGAGGAATTAGTTAAAATAAAACACTTCTTGGTTTGCGGTTGGCAAGCCTCGAATAGAGGACCTTTTGAAACATCAAAACTTTAACTTTCTACTAGGCTACTAAGCATTTATGAAAAGTACTTGTAGTTAATATATATATATATATATATAGTTTGAAAACTCATTTTGGAAAGCGGTTTTGACTAAAAAATCCAACAATTTCCCAAAAGTTTTTAAACTAGTGTCGTGTTATGATGTCGTTATTTCAATCGTTGTGCATAAGGTATATGTCGCAAGGACTTGAATCCCCCTAAGACCAACTGAATATAAGATAGATGCATGGTGTCGCAGAGATTTGAACCAGTACATGTCTAAATTCCAGCAATCGCACAAGATTAAACTCGTCTGTGGTAGTTTTCACTTTGAACCACACTTGCCTTTGCTTTACACATTTATAGCCATGTGCATATACTGGTTTCTGCTAGGGCTCTAGGTATCTTTTCACAATACATCATAGGAAACGGCCAAATCTCTACCCATGCATAGGTGAGTTCTTTAGGCATGTTTCCTATTAAACATCCTATATATATATATATAGAGTTTGAAAACTCATTTTGGAAAACAGTTTTGACCTAAAAATCCAACAATCCCCCACAAGTTTTTAAACTAGTATCGTGTAATGGTGCCGTTGTTTCAATTGTTGTGCATAAGGTAGATGTTGCAAGGACTTGAATCCCCTTTAGACCAACTGAATAAAAAATAGATGCATGGTGTCGTAGAGACTTGAATTAGCACATGCCTAAAATTCAGCGATCACACAAGATCAAACTCATCTGTGGTAGTTTTCACTTTGAACCACACTAGCCTTTGCTTTGCACATTTATGGCCATGTGCATATCCTGGTTTCTGATAGGGCTCTAGGTATCTTTTCGCAAGATCCCATAGGAGACGGCCAAATCTCCACCCATGCATAGGTGAGTTATTTAGGCATGTTTCCTATCAAACATTCTACATCTGAAATGCTTTAAACTCATTAAGGCTTAAGAGCCATCCTTTCTCATGATAGGATTCTAGGTGGGTCCTTTAGGCGTGTTTCCTATCTAACATCCCGCATCCAAAATGCTTTGGACTCATTAAGGCATAACAACCAACCCCTTTATATGATAGGATCATCGATGAGTCCTTTAGGCATGTTACCTATCTAACATCCCGCATCCGAAGTGCTTTAGACTCATTAAGGCTTAACAGCCAACCTCTTTACATGATAGGATTTTACTTGTAAATCTCACTTGACTTTTGAACCAATCATCTTATCATTAGTAGTGTAAGCTTTGAACTAATAACTTGATGTAAATGATAAGTGTTTGCAAGACTCACCAAACTTTACAAATCTTACTTGATTTTTGAACCGGTTATCTTATTATTAGTAACATAGCCTTTGAACTAATAATTTGACGAACATGGTAAGTATTTGTAAGACTCACAAAACTTTGAGACCCATTGCAACAAACATCCTTTCGACTATGTCTTTTTTCAGACCTTTAATCAAAGGATTAGCCACATTCTCTGAAGACCAAACATCAATCACCTAGATGACTCCTTGACAAATGAGTTCTCTCAAATAGCCATACTTTAGATGAATGGTCCGCTTCTTTCCATTGAACAACGAGTTCGCTGTTGCAGCACCCGTCGCCTGATTATCACAATAGATAGTAATTACGCCTTACAATTCTGTCAATGGAAGGTCTTGGAGAATACAACTGAGCTATTCAGTTTCATCTCCTGCAGCACAGAGTGCAAAGAACTCAGATTCTATCAATGACTGTACAATCATAGTTTGCTTCTTCGATTTCCATAAGATGATAGCTCCACCCATGGTGAAGACAAAACCTCTAGTAGATCTGCACTCATCTGGTTCTGAGCACCAGCTCGTGTTTGATCAGCCTTTGATTACAGCTGGATATTCAGTGTAGAATAGGTCCGAACTTGTAGTTCCTTTTAAATATCTCATCAATCTTTGGACAGTATCCTAATAAAGCTTTTCAGGATTACTTGTGAACCTACTAAGCATTCCTACAATAAATATTATATCTGGCATTGTGAAGCTCATCACGTACATAAGACTCCAAATTATCTTTGAGTACCTTAGATGCTCTATTGGTCTTCCAGTGTTCGGTCAAAGCTTCTTGTTGTAATCATACGGTACTGACAGTTCTGGCAGGTCGTAGTAGCCATACTTTCTTAGCATGCTCTTGATATTATAAGATTGGGATAATCCAATACCCTCTTCAGAGTATATAATTTTGATTCTGAGAATCACGTTCGCAGTTCCTAGATCCTTCATGCTGAA